TCTTCTCCTTCCCAACACTGTTGTACACACACGTGTGTACAAATGAACACTATTTATACATACAATAACACACACACACACACACGCACACACACACACACACACACACACACACACACACACACAGCACATATATTATATACAGATAAACACACCAGTTATACATACAATTACACAAGACACACGCGCACAAACACATACACACTCACAAATATGCACACTGACACTTAACTTATTACTACTTCTCATGTCCCATTTTTTAAGAGTGGGCTGTGAAAGGGAAGTGGGGGTGAACTGTCGTTATCGATCAACAAGCAATTATCCGGTGACAGTTGCTTACTCTTATTCGGTATTAAAAATTAATATCGACTCAATACGATTTCTATTTCTAAATCGAAACTATTCATTTGTCTACATTAGAGAGGAAAAATGAACTGCACAATTTCTTACACGTCAACACAGGAGAGGCGATATTCATCAGGACAAAGACAACTTCTTCCTGGAAGAAGACATGCAGACTCTTGAAACTTGCACTTAGGCCGGGAATAAGCTTTTTTTTAATTTTGGGAATTGAAATTTGAACCACGTCTCTCCGACGGCAATTAAGATACGGTGTTTTGAACACTTGATATTGAATTATGCCAATATTCGCCTGTTGTGAAGCAGTTATGCTGTCACATGATGCGTTCGATTCCCCTGTGTAGTAACCTCTTTGGTGTTAGGAGAATTTGTATTCAGTATCTCGGTCTTTCTGCTGTAACAATGTATTCCTCTCGTTCCGGTTTGTCCCTGACAGGCAGGGTCGATGCCTGCCCCCCTGCATGATCTACGTTGCAAAATAGGGGTGTAAAAAAGCTGATTTTTATTAAAATGTGACTTTTAAGAGAAAAAAAAATGACTTTGTTACATAGTTGGACTTTTTTCTTTTCTTTTTTAAAAAATCTTCTTTGGGGTGGAATGTTTAATCCCTAATATAAATAAAGCCCACAAACGAAGGTGGTGTAGATAGACCATTTTTACCTCTGACAGAAAAGGTGACCATATTGCCGAGCACTGTGTGTAAAGCCAACGGTGAGGTGTCTAAACAATGCCAGCCAATGTTCATAACCTTCCGGGCACAAGACAAAGGTGTACATTGTATGTTGATGCTATTTGCCGATGTACACCTCATGTGTGTGAACTGTGTCATCACTTAAGAACAGCTCAGAGCAAGGTGGTTTTGTTTGGGGGAAAATGAAGCAGACTTGTTGAGTGGAAGGGGTGGTACGGTTGTGTGTGTGTGGTTTTTTGTTGGGTTTGTTGTTGTTTTTTTTTGGGGGGGGGGCGAAGTGGGTCTATGAGGAGAAAAATAAACATACAGAAGGACTCTCCCGCTCTCTCTCCCTCCTGTCCCTTTCTCG